AAGTAGTGAAAATTAATGTTTGCATTCATTGCGCATATTAGTTATCGGATTTGGGTATTTTTAATTGTTTATGAACTAGATATTTCTTCCGTAGTCAGAATCTTGTGACGATCATATGCCTTTAAGTCAATTGCTTGTATATAAATTTTGAATTAGAGGGAGAACCTCATAAAAAATAAAGAAACCTCGTGATTTTGATTTTATTTAATACTGTTCAATTTCATTGACATTATTTTGTCGTGACACAAACGAAAAGTGTCTGTGTGTTGTTCAATATTCTAAAAAATGAATACTACCGCTTTCCACAAAGATTATGTCAATATAATTCATAGGGCCATTGTGATGTACAAAAATGTTATGAATGACCTGTTCTCTGAATATGGTCTGAAGAATGTGTCAATCATCTTAAAATGACACTTTATCCCTCCCCCCCCGGAAGTAAAACGCTCTAAGTCAATTATCATATGAAAAACTTCCGACTTTAGTATCAAGGTATGGTCTTAGCGGTATATAGGTAAGACTACTTAGATATTTTGATGTAGGTGACTACTATTTGTATGATCGTATAGCCGTATACTGAACACAAATTAAGTTATTAAAACCATTGGTATATACTATTTTAAGTTAGAGTAAGAGTTCACCGCCTCGCGTGCTGTATCTTACTGTTTACATCTAACATCTAGATATGCTACTGCTATTTTGGGGCGTTATATTTTTTCAAATACAATTTGAAGCTAATTATTCTTAAAAATAAAAATGGATTTATTTTTAAAGTTTTATTAGCCTAAAAATCGTTATATAGGATCATATTTTATATGAACTTATATGAAGGCAATGCTTTATTATCTATTAGGGAATCTGAGTGGCTCAGTGAGATTAAGTTTAGATGAAACTTCGTTCGGATTTTCAACTGTCAACCCTGTATACCCTGTCAGTGATGATTGTCGGATGGAAATGTGTCTTGTGGTCTGGATTGGACAATAAACATTGACTCAGTATGTCAAACAACATGCAAGTCTTTGTTGTCGATAGGAAATAGGCTAATGCCTAATTGTATCGTAAAGCTAACTTTCATTTTCCCTTATTGGGTATTCACCCTTACTTTTACCAATTTGGAGACGTTTTATATTAAATGTCACAACTAAAAATTTTCCACGAATGTAATTTAAGGTTATTTCCTAGGGAAATGCAATAAACATTAACTCTTTTACGAATTTTCCGTTTTTAAATATAACAATGACCTAGGCCAGTTCGGTAATTTTTTTTTTACTTATTATTACTTTATATACTGTATACTACATTTATGAAATGGCGGCCATTGTATACTGGACAAAAAGCGCTTCAGATTTCTGCAGACAACTGGTTTTGTCATTCCTTTCTATTATGCAAGACCAAAAATTGTCAGCCCATATAGACCTTATTGTTTCGTCCGCTTGTGGTTTTACGGAGCGCAAGTTGGAATTTAGAAATCTGTATCTCGCCAACCTGATGTTTATCTGTGATTGATCAGCTCGTCATCACTTTCAGCATCACTCATAAAATGTCATGTAACCTTTTATCACCACAAGTCACGAAGATTTGGTTGGTTTCCTTTGATTTGGAATTTGTGACGTCGACAAAATTAGAAAATACTTGCACGAAAAAAAATACGTACGGTTGCGTTATGAATCATTCATCAACTGTCTTAAACTTTACCAAAGGTCCCAGTGCATCAACGTAATTTAGGATGACAAAAAAAAAGATCACCTTCTTGCTTGAAAACGGAAATTGATATAATATTGTTTAGTCATTTTTGCCTGTGGTTGAAAATGTCTTTACATCTATTTTTGTTACCATTTTTCAAAATTACTACCATTGTCATCGATTACTGTTTCATGTTATGTGTTTGATGAGATTTTGACTATTGAATTTTTCAAATCATCATATAAAGTTTCATACTCCTATGAAATATACAGTGATATTTAAAAAATGTCAAAAAAACATTAATAAAGACTCTATAAAAAGTCAAAAATGTTGAAATAAAAAATGAATTGCTGTTCTTCAACGCGTAGGAAGGTTGTTTACTGACCATATAATTTATACTGAAGGCCTCTATAAATTTCATCATACACGTTTTATGTGACATAAAATAAAGTAATATTTTTTATATAAGGTATAATTTTCAAGGTTATTGTTTTTTCGGGGTGCAGATTGCCACTTCCGAGAAATAAGTCCTAAATTTTTTAACATTCCAAGTTTCAAAATATACAGTTAGGGTTGAGGATCTCTCGCAACCCTCAACCCATAGCATCCGAACTGCACTGTTCACTCAAAAAACCAAAGTCTTCAACTCTGTTCAACCTCTGGTTGACAGGGTTGTAACAAATTGAAAGATATTTTTGGGGGAATATGTTATCAAGAGACTGGATGAAGAGTCTTGCTCTATAGCTGCATCTCATTACCTTGTTGGATTGACGAAGACGAAAGCATGTATATTATAGATTAAGAAATGGATTAACATAAGGATAAAACTGACCATTTAGCTTTAACACCACCTTGACCTTGATCATCAATTACACCAGGTTTCTTCATTTCCATCCATGGTATAAAAAATAACATTACCCACAACACCATTCTCATTGGCTAGAGAGATTGTGAGATTCAACCTCGAGAAAACTTTACTCTTTAAAATCTATTTGGTTGTTGGATGAAATAGGTAGCAGCATGAAGGTTGAAACTGGATGCAGAAAATATTTAGACGGACAATCGTTTTAACTTTTCACTTGTTCAGTTGTCGGCCCTGATCACAGGAGATCGAAAGTGGTTGACATGAGTAAACCTATCTTTATAACATTTTGAAAAAGGAATCATCAGGTGCTCCACCACAATGTAATTTAGTGTTTGCAATGGTCTATTAATTCTGTCTTATCTTTTTGAAGCAGCATTGAAGATGTCTCAGTTGAATGTTACATCCAAAAAATTCGTACCATGTTCAATTCTTTTTTAGAATTTGATATTAAATAATGTATTATACATTATCGTTTGAAAATGTTTAACAAACTTTTTTAGAGGTAATTTATGGTAAATAAGATATATTATGAAGCCAGATGATTCATTTATCTCTGTTGTGATTGTCACATATTTTGAATAATAAGGCAAACAAATTAGCATTTGTCTATAAATAATCGGAAGTTGATCGTAAAATACTCAGTTCATAAAGGTTCTGTCTGTTGCTTGACGTGAAGGCCATATCGAGACAATGTGCATACTTCCTCGACAGTTACAACACAATTCGTTACAATTTGAAGCATTAAAGATGAAGACGCTACGCACAATGACAGGGCAAGTATCTACTTTACTTAATTTTCCTGGAATTCCGAAATACTAATCAGATGGATTAGTAGGAAGTTGATATTATAGGTTTCCACATAGATATATTAGGATTTTTACCTACACAAATTGTGATAGCTTAATGATATGTGATACACCAACATGTCTGTTATTATAGGTCTATTGTGTGGGGTTAGTGACTCATTAGATATTTTTTTCATAAAATTACTTTTCCTGTACGTTGTAGTAAATATTGATTATTTATGAATAGGTTAAACTAGATATCGATGATTTACTGATAGAACTAAATATTGATAATTTACAGGTAGGATTAGACATTACAAGCAGAACTAGATAGTTTCCACTTTACAGACAGTACTAGATATTGATAATTTTCAGGTAGGATTAGACATTACAGGCAGAACTAGATAGTTTCCACTTTACAGACAGTACTAGATATTGATAATTTTCAGGTAGGATTAGACATTACAAGCAGAACTAGATAGTTTCCACTTTACAGACAGTACTAGATATTGATAATTTACAGGTAGGATTAGACATTACAAGCAGAACTAGATAGTTTCCACTTTACAGACAGTACTAGATATTGATAATTTTCAGGTAGGATTAGACATTACAGGCAGAACTAGATAGTTTCCACTTTACAGACAGTACTAGATATTGATAATTTTCAGGTAGGATTAGACATTACAAGCAGAACTAGATAGTTTCCACTTTACAGACAGTACTAGATATTGATAATTTACAGGTAGGATTAGACATTACAAGCAGAACTAGATAGTTTCCACTTTACAGACAGTACTAGATATTGATAATTTTCAGGTAGGATTAGACATTACAGGCAGAACTAGATAGTTTCTACTTTCAGACAGTACTAGATATTGATAATTTTCAGGTAGGATTAGATATTGATAATTTACAGCTAGAACTATATTCGATGATTTACAGGCAGTACTAGACATTGATAATTTACAGCTAGAACTATATTCGATGATTTACAGGCAGTACTAGACATTGATAATTTACAGCTAGAACTAGACATTGATAATTTACAGCTAGAACTATATTCGATGATTTACAGGCAGTACTAAACATTGATAATTTACAGGTAGAACTAGACATTGATAATTTACAGCTAGAACTATATTCGATGATTTACAGGCAGTACTAGACATTGATAATTTACAGGTAGAATTAGACATTGATAATTTACAGGTAGAGCTAAATATCGATAATTTACAGGTAGAACTAGACATTGATAACTTACAGGTAGAACTACATTCGATGATTTATAGGCATTACTAGACATTGATAATTTATAGGCATTACTAGACATTGATAATTTACAGGTAGAACTAGACATTGATAATTTACAGCTAGAACTATATTCGATGATTTACAGGCAGTACTAGACATTGATAATTTACAGGTAGAACTAGACATTGATAATTTACATGTAGAACTACATTCGATGATTTACAGGCAGTACTAGACATTGCTTATTTACAGGTAGAACTAGCATTAATAATTTACAGCTAGAACTATATTCGATGATTTACAGGCAGTACTAGACATTGATACTTTACAGCTAGAACTAGACATTGATAATTTACAGGTAGAATTAGACATTGATAATTTACAGGTAGAACTAGATATTGATAATTTACAGGTAGAACCAGATATCGATAATTTACAGGTAGAAGTAGATATTGATAATTTACAGGTAGAACTAGATATTGATAATTTACAGGTAGAACAAGACATTGATAATTTACAGGTAGAACTAGACATTGATAATTTACAGGCAGAACTAGATATTGATAATTTACAGGTAGAACTAGATATTGATAATTTACAGCTAGAACTAGACATTGAAAATTTACAGGTAGAACTAGATATTGATAATTTACAGCTAGAACTAGATATTGATAATTTACAGGTAGAACTAAATATTGATAATTTACAGGTAGAACAAGACATTGATAATTTACAGGCAGAACTAGATATTGATAATTTACAGATAGAGCTAGATATCGATAATTTACAGGTAGAACTAGACATTGATAATCTACAGGTAGAACTAGATATTGATGATTTACAGGTAAAACAAGACATTGATAATTTAAAGGTAGAACTAGATATTGATAATTTACAGGTAGAACCAGACATTGATAATTTACAGGTAGAACTAGATATTGATAATTTACAGGTAGAACTAGACATTGATAATTTACAGGTAGAACTAGATATTGATAATTTACAGGTAGAACTAGGCATTGATAATTTACAGGTAGAACTAGACATTGATGATTTACATCTAGAACAAGACATTGATAATCTACAGGTATTAAATTGAAGTTGAAGAGCAGCTTCTAACAGTACTCTGTGTCGACGAATAACCATGCGTGAAAATTGGAACATATTTTCACCCCAAATCCCAGGAGGTTCATTACTCATTACTATTAGATTTATTGCTATAATATATATCTTTACGAGTGGGCGTAAGGTATGAATTTACTAAAATTTGTTATCAAAAGTACCACTTTAGATAACATGTTTTTAGACACTTGGCAATCCAGTGGTATCGAAAGGGACATAACATTACATGCCATGCTTGTGTCACGCGCCTACAATACATGTATACATTTGTGTAACCTATATTCGTGAATATTAGGATTCAAAACCGAATTTCGTCAAAGTTAAAATATTGTATAAAATAATTAAAATTTGTTTGTTTCGGTTTTTTTTTTATGAATCCCTCATTTTGACCATTTTCTCATGAGTAACCAATACGACAACGGCGGCAAAATACCTCACCTCGTGTACAATGTTTGATCTATAAAAAAAAAGTCGAGAAAAACACGTTGTATTGATACCCATTTTTATAATCATCATGTCTTAGTATGTATCTTAAATAATAATTCATTATAACTAATGACAATTCTTTCAAGTAATTTATTGCTAATATTCATTAAAAGAAAATAAGAATATGGCCCAGATTGTGTTACATAGAATTTATCTGCTGACATGGATTCCGCTAGTTTGTCACCAGACTTTCTTCACTGGAATATATTCTACTACACGGCATTTGAAATTCCAATTACAGCTCGGGATTAAAAGGAATTTGACCGATAAAAAATAGTGATGTTTGGTGATATTTGAAATCTGCCATTTTGTATATGATGGAAATAAATAACAAATTTGACATTGCTTTAAAACGACAGGAAAAATTCTGAAAGTTGACGTTTCAAAGATAACCCATGTTTATCAAAACATGCAAATGAGGTCACGCGAGGTCGCACATGTAACTTATTTATCGTTTCCGGAGATAAACAATTTAAAATTTGTGTACAACCTTATTCGTGATCAGAACCCAAAACGTAATGTAGTTTATGTAGTAATGCTTACCTACTTAAGTAGCATTATTTTAAGTTGATATAGTCGTCTAAATATTTGCTTTTACACATTTCGGCTTTGGTACAATTTCTCGATAAAATTCTGGAGGCTGGTTTATCTGTTTATAATTAAAACAAAACGTACCGGCGGAAGTGACGTGATGACAGCCTTAGTTTCCTAGTCGTTATTATTACCCTTACGTGGAAGTATTACCTTTGACACCTTTGAGTGGGTCATTTGCATACTTTAGAGTGAATGTCCAAATCATGACATTTTCATTACATTTTGAAGAATGGTGGCTCGCTTTTTTTCAATGTCATCATCTGAGAGTTGGAAATGACATTTTTTGTATCCAATATATATACACAGAAACTACGCCACCCTAATTCTGTGTTTCGTTTTTTTAAAAAGAGGTATATAATTGCCTGAAGGTAAATGATGTATACATAGCTTACTATTAATATAGCGGATATAACTTGTTTCATGTACATGTAATTAGTCAAATTGACAATACCGTACCTGAAAATAGAAACATCTCTTTGTATTTGGTTATGTACAAGGACACTTCCGTATTTTAATTCATTGGTCATACCATGTTGATTTCACGTCCGTGTTTTCAAATTTAACATCCGTCCTTGCTACACGAAATTTCAATCCATCTAAGGAGACTGTATGATTTACTGTTATTCTTACAGGAAATGATGCAAATTCTTGGAACGAAGTCTTAAGCACTTATTGACCTGAGGTTATCGTTAAGGCAGGGTTCATTTAAGCGTTATCGCATCGTAATTTGCGAGTCACAATAACCCTTTTTTAAATTTTTGCTAAATCTAGTAATATAAGGCAACGTCCGGTGGTCTCTATAAGCTTTGAAGAACTATGGAGCGTTTTGTCTAGAAATAGCTTGATCCGTTGTATCTAATGTTTTATTCTATTATATTTTTGAACATCATTGGCGAGATCGATCTGAAATTTCCACTCCAACATTTTGTAAAGCTACCTAATTTTTATATATATACTTCCCCCTGTCTATTCTCTTTACTTTCTCGTGTATTCTCGTCTTTCATCCTTTCTTCTCCACCTTGCTTTTCTCTCTATTTTCTACCTACAACCGAAGTTGTGACACTGTTATATATAGAAAAGAAATCTATAGAAATTGAGAAAGAAATTCGTAGTTTTATGAAGAAATTATGCCAATTTACCCAATTTACCGCGTCTATCCCTTTACATGATCATCAGGTCATTACATATTTCAATTAATTACTGCCACACATCAGATTAAAATTTTACACCGGGTTCTTGTACAATTAGATAAAAATGTACAAATGGAAGCTATCCCAAATATTAATCCATTCCCCAATGCAGATATTATCGATATTGTGACGTCATTGGTGATGCTAAATAGAAAGGGCCTCAGAAATTTCGGTGTTTTTCAATGTACCAGTCGCCCAACTGTTTTTTTTCTTTAAGGCAAGCACAAGGCTGTATTTCCTTTTTTTATTTGTTTAGTTAAACTCGTGTTGTTATCATGTAATTTTCTTACATGGTTGCAAAGGCTACATAACACGAAACCTATATCATGTTCAAGATTTTTAAACTTTCATTATAAATTTATGTCTCTAGTGATCATTGTATTTTAAAACTAGATTGTTAAGTTGGTAGTTAAGTTTTATGAGATGGGTATGCTTAATCTTTGTTATCTCTTGTGTTGATCTTCAATTTTTGGAGAAAATATGTTTGACAAAACCTTTTATTTCCTGTTTTGGTTTTATAGTGGAAATGATTTCAGGCAATATTATCAAATTACGCTGTGCCAGTCTGAACATATCATTCATGATAATGTTATTCAACAAATGGCAGATTCTGTAATATTATCAGGATAAAATTCCATATATTATCTTCATAGATTTAGTTTCGCTGTCTTGGCAGAAACATTTAGCAAATTGTGCAAACCAGGTATGCCTACACAATGGAATGAATAGGACACAAATGGGTCTTTGCTGTGGTTGTTAACATTTTACGACGATGCCATCACTCTATCTGCATCTGAAAACAATGCGATATTCTCCGAATAATAAGAGAGTGGCTCAAATTGATTTCATAAAAGTATGGCAATATTGTGTTAAAGCTCCAATAGAAATGTTTTAAAGGGACAGATGCGCTATTTTTTATCAGTTGTACCTTAACCTCAGAAACGGCAAAGCCCATCAGTAATAGTGTTTTCGTCGAAATTTGAGCCTTCAAATCTGTATGTGTCATATGAAACATTTGATTTGCGTGTGCGTATAAGCAAAAAAAGCAAGTGAAATTGACCTTTTTATCAATATCTATCCTATCACATGAAACGTATGCCCATTATTTTATACTCTCAACCATACGCAACTGGTGATCGCTACAGTGCGGGGCCCATTAAGCTGGGTGTCAATGGCAAAATATAATATGCAGTTTAATCCGATGTATCATATATGTAAAAAGATAAGATAAACGAAGAAACATCAATTCAATAACTGTATTTAACGCCCGTGTCTTAGAATAAGATTTGAAAACATCTATAAAACTTAATTTAACATTGCCAGTATAAAAGCACATATTCAAATTTAGAAGCATCTTTTTACCACATGTATAATATTTGTCAAAAAAATTGTTGCATATAATTATAGATCATTATTTGCTAAATCATTGTGAATAGTCGGCTTTCGAACGGGAAGTGTTGACCTCACATACGATTGGTGAATTTGAATCCGGGATAGGTAGGGATCTATTTAATTTCCGTGTAGCCAAGGTCAATTTAAAGGGGTGGTATAGTTACAAATAATAAGTCAGTTAGCCGTGTTAATTTAACTTTTCAGCATTCCCCCAACAAAATTTCTTGAATATCAATGACAATCCTTTTAATTTGAACGCGACCGCCACGCTTAAATGCTATTACTAAACATTTCAAATCGAAGGAAGTATTTGTGCTATCATACATAATTAAATAATTCGCAATAAGGTCAACAGTGAACACTTTAGTACAGATCTGACGTCACTATTTCAGATACATTTTGAGTGATGTTGTATAATTTTATTGAATTGGTAACTTTTAGCGTCCCCGATATTTTTTTTTAATCCCTTCAAGATAAACGAAGGTAAAGTAGGTCAACCTTCCTCCGAAATAAACTGTATCGCGCACTTAAATTACACAAACTTATATAGTATATAAATATAGATTGTTATCTTTATTATAATTTATTATAATCTGAATGAAGTTCGTGAGGTTTATTTATATGAATAACTGGGTTGAAAGTATCACACCTCGAAAAGTATACTCTATACACACGCCCAGTAACGCAATAGGAGAGAAAGAGACATGCACTAATCCCTAACAAAAGGTGTGCTAGCTTCCGGATTTAATTTTGAAGGGTCTATCCTGAACACACCCAAACAGGGGCGTAAGAAAATAGGTGAACATGTTTGCTTTCGAGTGTTATGGTAACAAAATGAAAACGTTAATATTTTTTGAATGTATTAATCTTTATGGTTAAAATTTAAGGAATATCGAGCTAGTAAGATACTTTATGTTTTTATTTAAACGTTT